GGAATGTAAATAGAAATGATGTATGCCACTTACAGGGAGGTCCTCCCTCATTCAGGCCACTTCTTCACATCTATGGAAGATTGAAGAGGACACCACAAGCCAGCCCATTACTGACCACGTGAAACAGGATGCCCTCTCGTGAAAGCCTTCATTGGACTGGTATAGCAGGGTGAATTGAACTCTCATACTACTAAGCTACTGAAATCATGGAAAGGCTCGTTGGTTGACCAATCCTGATTAACACATTGATCCTATCAGATTTGAGAGTTCTTTATCTAAACCTGTCTCCAAAACTTTTAATTCTTCTTTCTTGCCCTCGTAATGCTCTCTCCCTAGAAAAACCCCACCTCAGGATATCAGTTCAGCTGTCTGTGTTCTCAGCATTATGATAACTTCCAACTTGTAAAGTATAAGAGTAATTCATATCACTGGAGTCCCAACTTCAGTCCAACACTGCACAGGACCTTCCATGTATAGGACCTTCCATGGTCCCGCTATGTGACAACTTCCCCTAAGCCTCTTGAGCTCCCAGAAACATTGACCACTACTGAACATTCCATCCTTCACGTGCTCTCTTCCTTTAGCTTTTATTCTACTACTTTCCAAAGTTTCCTTCCTCTCTCATCACTTCTTAGATTCCTTTTCAGTCTGTTATTCTATTTCAGTTTTTCTCCTTCCATCATCCTCTAAATCTTATACTTATTTCCCTTAATGTACTCATCCTTCAGAGATAATCTCATTTAATTCATGGTCTCTGCTACCATGTGAACATTGACCATTGCAAACCTGTATCTCCAATCCATGTAAGTCCTGAACCTCAAACTCTTGTGATGTCTCCTACAGGCACAGACATATCCAAAATTGAAATCAGCACCTTCTTGTCCCTCCTTCCCTGCCATCCACTCTTCCTTCCCTGCACTGCCTGCCTTGTCAGCATATCTGGGAGGATGACTTTACTCCCAAATGACTACTTGTAATTCTCTAGTTCTATTTTCATTTCTTTATTATTTATTGCCAGACGGCATATGTGTTTACCAGAGAAAGAGAGAGGGGGAAAAACCAGCAGATAGTGTAATGGCTATGTCATTGGATTCCCATGTGGCCAACCATGGTTCAAGTCCCAGACCAGGTGGCTTAAAACTCACACCAGACGCATGTACATGTGTGCCCAAAATCCCAAGAGGAGAAGGAATTGCAGGGTGGCCATTCCCCTAGGGAATGATTTCTTGTTTTCTGTCTCTGTTTCTCTGCTGAGCACATGTGCCTTATAGCAAAACCTCTCTCTCTCTCTCTCAAAAAAAAAAAAAAGAGAGAGAGAGAGAGAGAGAGGGAGGGAGAAAGAGCCCCTTAAAGGGGTATGGTCACATTGCAAAGTCTTCTCTATTTCTCCATCCCATCAGGATTTGGGGCACACATACACGCCTGGCAAAATTTTCAAGTCTCTGGGGCTGGGATTCAAACTGCAGTCAGCCATCTGGGATCTAGGTCCCTTGACCACTACATTATAAGGTCAACCCTGCTAAATATCTTTTTAAACCATCCTTCTCTTATATACCTCTTGCTGCCAACATTTGTAATTTTTTTTTCACCTGAATTACTTCAGGAACTTCCTCCAAATTTCGATATACCAGTTTTACTTTTCCCAACCGTGCCACATGACTGACATCCTGACCTACATGCAATTTCCTACTAGAAATTCATCTATCACTTTCTAATATCTTTGGAATAAATAGTTACTGTCTCTTCTGAACTAGAGACACATTATGTCCACTTTCTGTGGACATTTTTACTCCAGTCTCCCATGATGACTCACATTCCACAAAGCTACCCTTCCTAATAAATAAGGTCATTTTAAATAATAAATGGTTAACAGATAGCACAAGCCATTAGGGAAGGAGTGTGACTCTCATGGTGAGGGCCAACCTCTTGCAGAAGTGATGTTTCAGTAATACCTGAAGGATTCAAAGGAACTAGCCCTGGAAAAAGAGGCTGATTTCAATTTTCTTATTTACCACCATTTCCCCCTGGCTGTGAGCTTCCTAAAGCTGGACATCATGCTTCTCTAAATACCCACCACAATTTGGGCACATGCAGGTTTTGCATGCATGCTTGATGAGTGAAAGGATGTATGAAGTGTAAATTTTTGAGCAGTCCAACTTTAGGTGAATCATGTGCTCATATATTTTTCATACATTTATTGACATCAAATTGTGAAACTACTGAAATTTCTAGACAGACAAAAACAAATAGGATTTAGACTTTAAAGAGGAGTTTTGCTTTCCTTAAATGTTTCTAAAATATTTCAGAACAAATGCTGCACAGTAATTTCTTACAATCGGAACCCTATGAAGATGGCAAAATAGATGACCCACTCACTAGGGTATTTCAGCCCCACCAATCATAAAAGCCCTGCACCAGTTGAAGGCTGGGCTCCAGGACTCTGAGGCGATGAACCTCCTGATAGCCCAAACTGTCTGTATACAAGCTAAAATCAACATTAGATAATCAGGTTCATAAAGGAAAACAACAACAGATGGCATAGTGGTTACGTCCTTGGACTCCCACATGGCTGATCATGGTTCAAGTCCTGGACCTGGTGACTTGAAATTTATACCGGGCACATGTGCATGCATGTCCAAAATCCTGAGAGGAGAATGGAGGAGAAAGGACTGTGATGTCGCCATTCCCTCCGGAGGGTGATTTGTTGAATTCTGTCTGTCTGTCTCTCTTTCTCTCTCTCTCTGGCAAGCACATGCACCCCCCATAGCAAAAATCACTCTCAAAAAAAGAAAAAAGAAAACAACTCCAAGTCATGGTTCATTTCTGCTAAGCAGGAAAAACTATAAAGGACCTCTTAAAACATATTGTGTTATGTAAAAATGATTGGATTTTATTCTGGGAAATATTCAGGTTCATAATTCCTTACTTGTAAATCAAAAGCTGTTTTATTTCTTTCACAAACTTGACAGCAAAACCTGAGCTATTATGAGAGGATTTGTATCTTTCATTTAAGTCTACTTGGTGTACCTATTCATTTATTTCATTATAAAAATATTGACAGAATGTGTTTGGGCCAGCAGGTAGCATGGTGATTAAAGTGCTGGATCCCATATGGCTGGCTGTGTGGTTCAAGTTCCAGACCTGGCAGCTTGAAAATCACACTGGGTGTGTGAGTGTGCATGCCCAAAATCCCAAGAGGAGAATGGAGAAGGGACTGCACTGTGGCCATTCTACTGGGGAGGGGAGGTGAATTCTCACTATCTCTCCCTCTCTCATTCTGGCAAGCACACATGTCCTATAGCCCCCTCTCAAAAAAAAAAAAAATGTGTTTGATTATAGGGTGCTGTCTCCAGCCCCACAGAAATACCTAAAAACTTCCATAATTCATGGGCTTTGAAGTACTCAGCAAAAGTCAAGCCATAGAAGCACAATTAGTCTGATTTTGAAGAAATACTATTGAAAGATGTTCCTATTTCCTTCTACGTCTGATTTAAAGTATGCATTTATGCCATTATTGCTTTTTTCTTTATATGCATTTACTTTATGAGCTAGCAACGCTTCTGACCAGGACAAAACCTTAGTAAGCAAATCCTTCATACCACACCTAGTCATAAACCGGGCACTACAGGCAACAAAACTGGCTAAACTTTCTAATTTTCTCAAGCGTTTTATTGTTTACATTTTATAACTTGAACAATCTTAATCCTTACTATTTTTTCTCCCTAAAGGTCCACAAAGCAGCACTTACCTCCTGGAAACAAGGTCTCTTGATGGGTACTTATTTTGTACTCAACACAAACCTCATTATCCATATCACATCTGATTCTCACAGTCACCCTGCAGAGAGATTTTTCTGTTCTTTCCTCATATAATTAAGCAAACTCAGGATCAATTTGTCTAAGACCACATGGCTTTTAAGTGGCAGACATTCATTCCTGAACCCAGGAATGTCTAGCTCTAAAGTTTGGATTGTCTAAAATACCATGGTCAAATAATTAACCCATGTTCCAATCTCATTCTCAGCTTCTGCATAATGGGAAGGATAAGTCTGCTTCATTTAGAGTAGAAATGAGAGTGTAGTTTTCCTCCTAAATGCTTATGTAGTCATTTAATAGTGTATTTACACTTCATAATATATTGTATCTGGTTTTAAAAGATTAACTCTATAACTATATACAATATCAGTCAATGCAATTTCAACTTTGATTTTATTTAATTAATTTATTTTTTGGAGAGATTTTTGCTATAGGGCGTGTGCACTCCCCAGACAGACCGAGAGAGATATTAGAGACAGAAAGCGAGAAATCACCCCCCAGGGGTGATGGTCACGTCGCAATCCCTTCTCCTCCATTCTCCTCTCAGGATCTTGGGCACGCACGCACATGCGCCCAGCGTGAGATTTAAGCCACCGGGTTCGGGACGCGAACCACGGTCAACTACGTGGGAGTCCAGCGACATAGCTATTATGCTGTTGGTTCCCTGATTTTATTATTTTTAAAAAATAAATACAAATAATTGAAATTAGGCTGATGAACAAATATAAGAAAATCAGATGTTCAATATTCACCCACCTTTTAGAGGCATCATCTATCAATACATTTACTGGAGATATTATTATACAAGAGGAAAAGAAAGGCTTACACCTCATAACAACATAGGATAAAAGGACAGAGATGAAGATCATTAATAATTTTAATTATTTTAAGGCCCATTAAAATTAGAGAAATATCAAAGCACCCACAGGGTTAAGAGTTTATTATTTTATAGCATTTTAGAGTTTACTAGTTCATACTTTTCAATCACAGCAAGTTATTAGCAGTGAAGGGATGAACCCTCTTAAGAGGATTTTTATTTCAATGATAGGGTGTTATGGACAAGACAACCTAAGTTTTAAAAAATTAGTAGCAAGCGCTAGTTGAGTTAATCAGTTAAAGACAAACTGTGCCCTTGGGAAGCTAAATGAGAAAGCAACAGTAAAGCTTACAGAACTTAGCTCGTACAATTTGCCTTGAAGGCGGAAGATTGGTTCCCTGAAATAGCAAAGAATTATATGCTTTAGTTCAGAAAAAAAAAAGTTTTTAAAATAAAGTCTGTTATTACCTCTTCTCCTTTCAAAACAATGGAAAAAAAAAATCTAGAGCCGAGGTTTCAATTTGTTCAATAGTTGTACCTCTGAATTAAAAAAAAAAAAAAAAACTACAAAATCATCATTGTTTTGACTTGAAAAGAAATAACAATGCAAATATTCATTATCACATAAAACATAAAAGAAACAGCAAACTGTCGGAGTTAATACAATCTCTGCAGAGCGCTATTAGTCAGAGACAGCTGGTCAGCCCCAAAACTCAAAAGATCAGATCTTCTTAGGAATGAACACCTTCGTTAACCAACAAGAATTTGGTGTGGCAGAGATTACATCCAACAACTGCCTTCTTTATGAACTGTCCCTTCACTGTTACCAAGCTGTGCAAATGTGTGAACTAGTCAGCAGCCCCACAAAGCTCATGCAACTACTCACCGTGCTTTAACCTGGACCTGACACACAGATTCGATGTTACGTTACATTTAGGGGTAATGTAAGCAAGCAATATAGGACACAAAGGATCAAATTTTAAATGCAAAGCAAGTAGCAGGAAAGTTATTTCAAATAAATTGATGTAGTTAACTGCATAAAATAGCCCAAAAGAAATGTGATCACTCCAAAAACTTTCAAAGCAAAAACAAAACAAAAAGCTGCATAGCAAGCAAAATTTGCACATAATTAATTTGCGCTTTAAAAAAAAAAAAAAGTCAACCAGGCAATTTAGTTCACATTCTTTGGGACATGCATGCACTGAGTCTCTTACAGAATTCCTACCTGATTTCCAATTGTAGTTTTCTTGTGAACCTGACTGCTCCTCTGCTGAGCACTGAGAAAAGCAAAGGAAAGCAGTACTGAAGAGTTTTACATGATTTTTTTTTTTTCTGAACAAGTAACTGATAGGAAAATATATACAGGCTTTAAAAAAAAATCAACCTAGGCAGAACGAATATCAAAAATCTAGGTCAGTTTAAATCTGGAAGCAAAATTAACTCTGTGGGACTTCTAGCAGCAATCAACAATCACAAACTAAAAATGTAACACTACAGGAAGAAAAGCTGCACTGACTACGTGAAGAACAGAAAGGGCAGGTGCATCTGTGATAGGCCACAGGTACACAAAATAGCTGCAATGAAAATTAAGTCAATGTATATCAATTATACACATTTAAGTGCTTTACAGATGTTTCAGGTTTTCATTCTCACAACACCCCCATAGTTACTATTATTCTTCTTGTTATACAGATGGGGAAACTGAGTCATGGAGAAGTTAAGTGATTTTCCCAAAGCCACTCAGCTAATAAGTGGTGGTATCAAGTAGAATAACCCCACATCCTACATTCTGCGATATTATTCAATCTTATTGCTCTGAAGTCCACTGCACCTGACAATTTCCATAGCCAGCTCTAGCTTGGGTCAGTCTTCCAACTCTGGACTCACACATGGTTCTGGAAACTCAACATCTCACTTGAGTGTCTGATGGGCGGCTCACACTTCCCATGTCAAAGCTAAACTCCTGACATCCTTCTAAAACCCCCTCCATTCTTAATTAGCATCAAGTTCATACCAAATTTCCATGTGCTCAAAAATTCTCAACTACTCTTTCATGTCACATAGCTGATCATTGACAAATGCTGCTGACTCTACATTTTTACCATGTATTTAAAGTTCAACCACCTCTTTAACTTTCATTGTTACCCTCTTGGTCCAAGCCACTTCCTCGTCCCTTACCTGGACTACTTCAATGATTTATTCCCTGTCTTGTTTCCACACCTGTCCCCCTAAAGTCTATTCTCAGCACAGAAGGTGGGATGCACCTCCTACACTTCATACACTGGAGGATTCCATCCATAATGGCCTCTATTCTCTCAGCTCAGAGCCTCTTACGCTACCCGAATGCCTAGAATATGGTTTAATATACATATATAGGTCCCAATGTCTCCTTCAAGTCTTTGCTCAAATTTATCTTTTCAGTAAGGCTTCCCCTGACCATCCTATTGAAAATTGTATCCTTCCCCTTATCCCAGGACTCTCATCCTTTACAGCTCTGTTTTCTCTGTGGCATTTTCATCTTCATATTCACCATACAGTTTATTTTTGTGAGGTATAGTATGACCTTCAAAATATGCATATAGGGTAGAACTACCAAATCACAGATATACACATATTCATCTTCAATGTGGAACATATTATGTTATACACATTCAATAACAGTATACTAGTTGCTTCTTGGAAGCACATGTTGACCTGTCAATGACACTTTTCACTTTGCTGTGGTACACCATTCCACAGCCCATTCCCCTCGTTTCTATGCATTCTTATGTCTATAATCATTTTCTCCTGCACCCTGCCCCATTCTTCTACCTTCCACCCTTAAAAAAAAATACAAGCTCCCTGTGATTAGGGTTGGTGTCTGTTTTGCTCATTGCTACATGCCCACGGCCAATAAAAGATCTACCCGAGTTGGCCTCAACAAATTCTGTTTAATGGAAAGGGGAATGAGATTCATGCCATTATAACCCCATTTTACATAGGACCACAGAGAGTGAAGGGCCAGATATGACTCCCAATAACTTAACCCTAGAGCCCACACATTTAAAGACTATGCTACTCTGTCCCTCAAAAGCCCTCCAAGGTTTTCCTCTCTTCTTGGAGTAAATGACAAAACTGCTATTACAATGTGATCGTGACATCTTCATGGGTTATGATTACCTCTTCCAAGCACCATAAGTGTGCTTTAGTAACTTCTTTCAGAAGAATTTTTTTTTTTTCTTTTTGGAGAGGTTTTTGCTACAGGGTGCGTGCACTCGCCAGAAAGAGAGAGACAGAAACTGAGAAATCACCCCTCCAAGGGAGGATGGCCACACCACAATCCCTTCTCCTCCATTCTCCTCTCAGAATCTTGGGCATGCACGTACACGTGCCCGGTGTGAGTTTAAGCCACCAGGTCCAGTACTCGAACCACGGTTGACTACATGGGAGCCCCGCAATATAGTCATTACACCATCTGCTGGTCCCCAGAAGAAATGTTTTAAATGAAGCACTGACTAGTGGTGATAACTTCAAAACTGTGATAGATTCACAGGCCTTTTTTTTTTTTTCTTTTTCTGCACAAGTTACTGGAGACCCTAAAATTGTGTATATGTGTATAGGATCCCTTAAAGTCATGTAAGCAAAAAGAAGCTGAATAGCCAAAAAAAAAAAAAAAAAAAAAAAGGCACGGAGATGGTTGATGACTCCTTGTACCACACTCAGCAAAGAGTCTGGCCTAAATGGACTTCAGTTCTCAGCTGTGAAGTGTTTATGTGTTTGCTCTAAGACAGAAAGAGACAGACCAGACAGACAGAAATGGAGACAGAGAGGAGAGGAGACTGGACTAGCTATTCCTTGGTCCCTTTAGGTCCAAGACTCCTTGAGATGCAAAGGCACTCTCAGAAACTGCTAGCTGAATAAGATAAAGAGAATATTTACGGACAGTTTCTATTTACAAAATAGCACATATTTAGGATCTGTTCCTTGTAAGAAGATGCAAGAGGGAAAACCAGATTTGTTTTGTAAGACAGTCTCAAATATTAGAGTCAGAACAAATACCAAATTACCTTTACTTTCCACCTAAAGGATAATAATAGCAGTTTAGGGCCAGCAGGTAATGTGTGGTTAAGGTGCTGGCCTCCCACATGGCCGAACACAGTTTGAGTCCTGGACCTGGCGGCTTAAAAATCATGACAGGTGAGTGTGCATGTGTGTACAAAACCCCAAGAAGAAAATGGAACAGAAAGGACTGTGACATGGTCATCCCCCTGGGGTGATTGCTCACTCTCACTCTCCCTCTCTCTGCCTCTCTCCAGTGAGCACACATATCCTATGGCAACAACTTTTTTTTTTTTCCAGAGAGGTTTTTGCCATAGGGCACATGCACTTGCCAGACAGACAGAGAGAGACAGAGAGACAGAAAGCAAGAAATCACCCCCCCAGGGGGGGTGGTCATGCCACAATCCCTTCTCCTCCATTCTCCTCTCAGGATCTTGGGTACGCATGCATACGCGCCCGGCATGAGTTTAAGCCACCAGGTCCGGGACTCGAACCGCGGTCGACTACATGGGAGTCCAGCGACATAGCCATTACACTAACTGCTGGTCCCAACAACCTTAAAAAAAAAATTATCTTTATGCAGCAACTAGCCACACAAATCCAAATATATTACTGTTCATATGTATTTAGGTGCTTGAAGTTACTTCATTAATAACAAATGAGATGCCTACTTAGAAAATATCATTTACTAAATTTTTTTTCTGCTGCTATGATAAGTAAATCAAAAGTATTTCAAAGTACTACTTATTTAAGAATGTATTGACAAGAAAACATGTAAGACTTGCAACTTAATTTGAGCTTTCGGACATGTTCTTGGACATAGGTACTGTAATCTGTACAATATTATAAAATATACCTATGTGTAAAGTTTTCATTTGATTTTAAAAAATGTATGGTACCCACTCTGTAGAAGATAGAAGCATGAATGTGGTATGGTGCTTGTGATTAGAAGCCTGACATTCATCTAGTCCTAATGATTAGATACTTACACAAAATACAAACGAAAAAGAATAAGAGATCTAACAAGATTGAAGTATGTGAGGATGTATAGAAAGCAAAAATGAAGCAGGCTTTATTTCAAATATGGGAATTAATTACCCCACATGACTTTTTTTAATATAGGGGTGTGGGAGAGGTATTGGAGGTGGGGGGTAGACGTAACTGTTGCTTATGATTTAAGTTCTTATTATACACAAGTCCCTGTAGAAAACTTTTTCAGAATACAAAAATACAACACCAAATTAGGTTCATTAGGTTTTATGCTTCGGGACATAATGATTCTAAAAGTATATGACAAGAAGCTTAAGTTTCTGTAAAACTAGGAGCACATTAGAAGACACTCAAAGACAAAGATCCCATCATGCTACCTCTTAGCTCATCTATCGCGTATCCCCTTCTATCCTTGTCTTCTGCATAATAGTAAAAGATTCAAGAAATACAACTGTGTGCCAAGGGAGTGTGTGACCAGTTCTCAGATATATCCTACACACAATAATTGCTCTCGATATTTACAGATAAGAAATACTATTTTAGTCTGATGCACTTGAGCTTTTTTGCAGAAAATCTGAAAGAAAGGTAAACTTGAATAGCGGGAGACAACCAATTGCATTCGAGGCAAACAGACTGGTATTAGCAAAGCCAGGAAGTAGAAAGAGGAGGCAGGTAGGGAACTTGTGGAGAGAAAAACTATTACAGCAGAATTACATAATCATAGACTATTGCTTGTCAATGACCTTAGAAGTCACCTGGTATAATAACTGCTGTGTTGGGGCCAGTGATGAAGAATTTGGCTGTTACCCTGTAGGCAGCAGAAAATATTCAATGTTTCTGAGCCAGCAAATGGCATGATCAAAGCAGCGTTTTTGTAAAAATGACCTCCCTGAAATGGGCAGTATTGACTCAGAAGTAGGGAAGACAGGAAACAACCAGCCCAGACTCCCTCTGACCGCTGGAGTCCTGCCCAGCCTTCAAAGTTCAATCAAGAATCATTTCTGGATAATGCCTTCTTAGAAACCTCCAGTTATCTCTCCTTTCCATGAACTCCCAAAGCCTTTGGTCTGTGCCTGTCCTACATAAATAAGTTCATGTCACAGTCAGGTTGCTAACTCCCCTCCAACAATGTCTGCCTCTTGATGGCTGGCGTTGGATCTCATTAATCTTGGCAGTCCTACTTCTCTTACCACTTCCATTTTGGTAGCTTCTTTAAAAACAATTATAGAACCTTATTTTGATACCAAGG